GTCAAGTAAGCAATAGCACTTAGACGGACGTACTGCTTCTCGTTTGAGAGGGCTGTTCTTTGGCTTTCCAAATACCTGTGCAAGAGCGGCCGACTCACAGAGACCCCTTCCCCCCCCCCCCCCCCCCCCCCCCCCCCCCCCCCCCGAAGGTGACTAACTGGTAGAGATATTCCCATTCGGACTGTTTTGGGCCTCCTGGGCCAATCATCCAGCCGACAAGGGGGACAGCCAGGGACATGGTGTGCAAGGCACAGGTCCCCCTTACAAGAGGCCCCCTTTCCCTTGGAGTCTGGTTATGGGACGTTGGTGTGGTCTCCTTTGCACAGTCAAGGACAGCTGCAAGTGGTGGAGGGCTGAGAAACTGATAGGCTGGGTTTGAGGCACCTCCGTGATTTACATCTGTAAGTGGGAGTGGATTCTCTCTCTAGGCCAGTCTGACTTTGCCAACATTGTAAAAGTTGAGCGAGGGAAACAAGTCAATATTATATTGGGATGATAACAAAGATTCCTTGAACAAAGCAGAAGCATTAATATTTCAATACTTTTAGGTTACGATATCCTACAATTTTGGTAGATTGCTCACTGAGAACTTGAAAATGTGGTTTTTCCCCTCCAGTGCTGGGAATGCAGAGTCTTTATCTGGGTACCATTGTGGTGCTGCCCTTTGTTTCTGTGGGGAGGCCCCCTTTTTACATCATTTCTGAAGGTAGTCTAAATTAATGCCTCTGGTATGTAGGTTACATCCAAGGCTTGTGACCAGATGCCAGAAGTGATTTCTGTTTTAAAAATATTGCAGGCTTTTTCTACATTTTTAATCTCTCTTGCTGATTTGGAGGCAGTTTTATGAAAGATGGAATTAGGATGATATACACCATTAAATGGTAAAGGAGATTAGACGGATTTAACTCTATGCGTCTGTCTCATAACTACCACCAATCCTGTAACTTCCATTTTATATGTAAAATCTATTCTGCCCCTTTTGACCTGCAGATGCTTTGCCAGCCAGGCTGAATTTCTTCTCTTTATTTATGAGATATTTTGCTGTTTCTGTTCCTGGATTTGCACTCTCCGCTGCTCTTTTGCCAGGGATTCTTCCAAGGAAGGTGTGTGCCAAGTAGACTGCAGAGAGAGAGCTCCATGGGAGGCAGCTGCCACTACTCGGGTGCCCCTTTGTCTCTGGAAAGGGCACTCAGCGGCTCGAGGTGCTGGAACTGCTCCAAGACGTCATCTAGGCTACGTATCGATTTCATTAAGGACTTCCCAAAATATTTGTCAGCCACTTTTCACCTCCCCCAAGGGTCTTATGCTAAAAGAGATAGCACATCAATACCAATTGTTTAAAAACACCAAAGTTAAAATATCGCATAGCAGGGGTGCAGCAAGGGTTGCCGAGTGGGCATCCTGTTAAGGCCCTTATGGAATCCATGGGGAATCATCATTATTTCGAGTGAGGATCTTTCTCTACAAAGGTATCCTCCCCAGTCCCCATGGAGAACCAGCCCACCCCCTCTTCCCCCTCCAGAGTCTGGAAGGCTGCTGGCAGGAGAGTTCCTCCTCCTCCCGGCTGTGAGTGGCCGCCTTCTCTTCTTTAGGTTAAAACAGACTCTGCTCTTTTAACCATTTTTCACAGAGTTTAATTCTTTTGCCTTTTTGTAATTTTTATATTTCTATTGTGAATAATCCATGTTAACATCATATTCGTATCTACAAGTGCATAAGGATATAAATGGAGGTTCTCATATAAATGTGGCTTTGTGTTGATAAGCAGGTAGATTGCATATTTTGTATATTTATTATATTAATTGAGTCGCCATCCAGCTCCAAACAACATAAACCGATCAGCACAGCATACCCCATACTAAACACGCAGAGGAGATTCACGCCTACAGGGCCCTCCAGAATGCTTCCAGGGTGGAAACTCTCTGGGTCTCAGGGGGAACCTCTTTCTAGAAGGCAAGGGCCATGACTGAGAAGGTTCTGGGCTCCTGGTAGAGGTTGCTGTTGATTCAAAGGAATCAGTCTCTACCGACTGTTGGATCAAGGCTGACTCGACAGGCAGGCAGTCCTTCAGATAGCCAGGCTCTGGGTCATGAAGGGCTTAATGGATGACAGCCAGCACCTTAAGCCTCACCTGGAAGCCAGGAAGGGCATCTTGTGAAGCAGAGCTGTCCCATGGACAACGAAAGGCATATGCCCATCACCACTGCCAGTGATGCTGCTTTCTAGACCATTTGGCGTTTCCGGGGGCTCTTCAAGGGCATCCCTGAATTCCTACAAACTTTCCACAAAGGTAAAGGTGAACAAACCTAAGGTAACTTCTTCGTGAAGTAAAATAGGGACTACAATAAAATCATAAGGTGCTAGGCAATATCAAGCTTTGATGTTCTCCCTCGTGTGGCCAGAGAGTGGCCAGGATTTTCATGGTGTATAATTTCGCATGATGCTCCAGGCGTCGTATTTGCTAGTGTGAGCCGAGGGCCGCTGTTTCGTGAAACTGACCATCTGTGCCGAAGACCCTTTGCCTTAGGAGAAGGCTCAGCAGGGGTGGTTTTCCATGGGGCAGCTGTTCCAGCTGTTTTGAAACGCGCCCGCTTCAAGGGCCGTCCGTGAGCCTCTCCTGGGAAGTGAAGGGAAGCGTTTGAGCCCCCATTTTCCTGAGCCAAAAGGGCTTTGGCGCTACAGCTTCCAAATGGCTGCCATGATGATGAAAAGACAAACATTTTTCCCGTCTTGCCTGGCGCTAATGGCCTCATCACTGCTTTGTGATGGGATGTGAATTGCTGTGCCCAATGCAGCTTTAATTCCTTTCCTCAAATGAGCAGTTGGGATGCATCTTCCCTGGAGGGCCAATGAACTACTTGACTTGGAATATCAATAGAGGAGTTGCTTTGCGGCTGATGCTCTTTCTCTTCCTCCGATCGCCTCAAAAGCAGCGCTAGGGAAGTAGGCAGGCAACGGGGAGCCCCTCGCCCGTGGGGCTGGCGCAGGAAGGCTCTGTCCACCACCTTGGCCTTGCCACCCGCCTAAGCGCAGCTGAAGAGAGGAGGGCTCAATCCAAACGGCTCTGGGGCCTCCAGCTGCCACCGAACCCTTCGGCAGCCAGGAAGAGGCCTGTGGGTGGACGGGGGCGATGGGGGGGGGGGCTAGTAATCAGCCTTGCAGGGAGCAGCAGGGCTTGGGAAATGGCGGTGGGGGCGGCAGGGCTGCGGGGGACTGAATCCTTTTAGGCCACACTAAAAGCCCAGAGCTGCTTTTGCTTTGGCAGGGACGTTGTGTGAGCGTGTTGCCTCCGGGACTCCAGGCCTTCCCTTAAGTTGCCAGCTTCTTGTTCCCAATAAGATTCGTTGGTGGTTCTGAAATATACCCGCATTTCCCTGGACTTCCTGTCAATGCTGCCGAAGGCCTTCTGGGATATGGGAGCCTCACCCTTGGCACGGTGGTGGATTTAATTCGGAAAGGCTGGCACTGGAGGTGGCCTTGAGAAAAGCCCACCTGATCCCGACCTTCAAGGAAGCCTTGTTCCTTTCCCTCCGGAGCCCACTCCCTGGTCTGGAGCACTTTGGGGGAAATCTAGTGGCCCGCAGACCTGCAAGTGCCGAAGCTTTTCCAGCATTTAGTCAGGATGTGGCTTTTCTGTTCCGGAACAGCCTTTCCCCGTCGTCTTCTCCTTCTTCTCCTCTCTGGGGCGATGGCGGAATGTTGCAGGGGAGATGCCTGCAGGGGCCTGGAAACGGCTGCCCTGCCTGCTCCTCCTCTCAGGGGCACCGCTTGTGAGATAAGGGACCCCCTGGATGAGCCCACCCTTCTTCCTCCCAGGGCCCAAAGGGTCACCTCTAGGGGCTACTCAGCAGCAGGCCCGTCCCTCTCCCACCATCGTTTCCCTGCAAGGGGTATATGGAGACAGGCCACCTCAGAGACAAGACCAGCCCTCCTCACCCGTCAATTTTTTCTTCTTTGACCCGTCTTGTGGGAATGAATTCCATAGCTTACTGATGTGCTCCGTTCCAGTATGTCTCTCGTTGACTGTGTGAATCGGATGCCTTCCAGTCAGGATCATTGAGTGACCATTGATCCAACTGTTTGGATAGTGATTGTGTGGGTGGGTGTTTATGTGCGGGTGTGTTGACTGCAACACTGTTGGCAAGATTTTGGAACTGGTGTGCCACTGCCTGCTTGCTAGCACGGTGACAGAGAGACTGGCCCAAGGTCATTCAGCTAAGGTGGCACTAAAATAGATGGCCTCCCGCTTCCTAACCTAGTGTTACATGTAAGAAATCAAGAAGGCAGTTCAAATGGGTATATATCTACTCCGTGCTAACGCTCGCTACAAGAATCTGAACTACTTACGGTCCAAGCAAATTGGCGGTAGATAAGAGTCAACCGAACTAAAAGTGGGCTGGACTTAGGTCTCCTGTGGGTAGGAAAGGACTCAAAACGGATGATGTGTTTGACCCCTCAGGCTCTGCCGGGTCATCGCCTACAGCCGGTGCCTTCACCCCTACGTTGACAGCTGCGTCGGCTGTCACAAATCAAACTATTTGGAGGGTGGGGGAAAGATGCTGGTGGTCCACTTTTTCCCTGCTAGGCATCATGTTCTAAGCCTGGTCTGTATCCACCCACCCACCCCAACCTTTTTAGCAAAAGCATCTAATTTCTATCAGCCTCCAGATCATTTGAGCTGCTCTTTTCTGCACTTTTCCCAACTCGCTTTTCTGCTCCTTCCGAGGGGCCCATGGACGAAGGGGAGTGCTGGGCCAGGGGGAACGAGGAGGGGGGGGGCAGGGGCTCGGCGAGTTCGGGTGATCTTGTTCTTTGGGAGCTGCATTCACTTTCTGCTTGCCCCCATAGCGCACACTGAAGATGTGGGTACCAGCCTCTATTTTGTGAACGACTCCATCCAGCAGGTGACCTTCTCCAGCTCTGTGGGAGTGGTCATCCCGTGCCCAGCAGCAGGATCACCCAGTGCCACCCTTCGCTGGTACCTTGCAACTGGGGATGACATCTACGATGTCCCACACATCCGCCACGTCCATGCCAACGGGACGCTTCAACTTTACCCCTTTTCGCCATCTGCCTTCAACAGCTTCATCCACGACAATGTTTACTTCTGCACTGCGGAGAACTCCGTGGGCAAAATCAGGAGCCCAAACATCCGGGTCAAAGCAGGTATTGGCTGGCTGAGGGAGGGCGGTCTTTCCTCTGGACCGGTGAGGGAAGGTCGGGGGGGGGGGTCAGGTCCCAGGGAATCGTATTTGCTGGGGAAAGAAAAACACACTGGGATGCAGTAGGCCTTCTGCAGCCATGACGGAGATCTGATTCTGCTTTCTGGATGGCATTTGGGCCCTGGACACAACCCTTTGTGAGCTACAGGCTAAGCAGGTGGAGGACTAATTAAGCAGAGGGAAGGGAGGAGCAGGTGGGAGACCATTTTGGGTGAATGATCAACCAAGTGGGTGGATGAGGAGCCCCGTTGGTTCCATTAGGTAAACTATTAAAGGCCGGTTGCCAAAGTGCACAGACCAGCTTGATACCCAACTTCTGCCTTCCTTGCCTCCCAGGGTGGGAGAGGACATTAAAGACCAAGGCGTGAATTATTTACTTGAATCGCAATACTACATATAAAAATGTTTCCATGTGTGATTTTATTTTTATTTTGAGGGCTCTGTGTGCCGTGATGATTTCCTAACAGGCAGCCTTTCTTAACGGGCAGCCTTTAACCTTCTTCCTTTGTATTCTGTTCTCTTGGATGTGAGGAGCGAGGGGCGAGAGACTCTTTTTAAATAGCTTTGTGATAGTCCTTATTTATTGCAACTTCATTTCTTGTTTCCTCCAGTTTGGGAAATTAGCTCAATAGCTTCACATGGGGTTAGCCAAATCAATGCATTGCAGCACCCACCTACATCCATAGCCATTCTTGGATGGTATCAATAATCAAGTGTTGGGATGTGTCAAATGTGGTGCTGGATTCTAATTCACATTGCAATGGGATCCCACTCGTCTTTGGAAAACAAAACCTTGTCTGCATCCTGGGAGACATTTGTCTACAACTGCTTCAGAAGAGGCTGCCTAAGAGTAATAAAGGCAGAATATAAATCAAAAGGTAAAGGAAAGAAAGAAACGGGAGCTGCCTTGCCCTTATAGACTGTATCTGGGGCCCCCTTTACCAATGGCTTGTTCTCCCATTGCAATGGAAGCTCAGCGGAGGTCAGGCCGATGGAAATCCTCGCAGGTGTTGCCTCCAGAATTATGTCTCCGTTTCTTCACTTGTTGGCATCCAGTTAATTGCAGGAACAAGTGCAAAGAAACTTGAGGTCTGCCTGGAAAAGCTGAGGTCCAGCTTCTGTCTTGGATTTCCCTGAAGGACCCTTGGAAGCCCCCAGAAACATTTCATGCATCTGACTGTACTGGAGGGAGGTTTGTTCAGTGGGAGCAAGTGAAAGGATTTGCCTGCTCTGGTCAGGTGGGGAGGGAAGCACCTGACCTTAGGTGCGCATGGAGAGCAGCTGACCCACTTGAGTCAGGGCTAGGCTCCTTCAGCTTCTGTTTGCACGTGGTTGGTTGCTGCAACTCAGAAGATGCCCCACGGAAGCAGGAGAAAGCACGGAGCCTTTTGGTTGGCGATTGGAGGAAGAGCTCCAATATTTGGGGCTTCATTAATTAGGAAAATAAGTGAATGAATGTGAACATGGTAGAAGGTATAAAGTTATGCATGCTTTGAAACAAAGGATGAAATCCTTTTTCCCTTCATCTCGTTAAGTCTGAACCTGACGGGGCTGTCTGGGATAAATGGATATATGGAAGAGTCCCGAAGGGGCTTTTTTAAAAGGCCATCTGACTTTTTTTGGTTTTGCTTGAAGACTTTTCGTTTCCCATGCAAGCGAAACCTCTTCAAACCGTTTCCAACCATGACCTGGATGACTGAGAACCTCCATAGACATTTGGATAGGGAAGAAGTTGAAAGCAGGCAAAGAGCAACGTTTCCTTCACATTGTGTGTTTTGAAGCAAAGCTTGCTGCCTTGAATGCGGCAAGTGTCAGGAAAACCATTTTATGCTCCTTGTCTGGATTCTGAGCTGATAAGGAACAGCAACAACAAGGAGCCAGGCGTGAGAATGGGCTGGGCAGTCGTGTCCTGCTTGTGGGCTTCTCAAACTGCACGTGGACATCTCCTCCTCCTCCTCCTCCTCCTCCTCCTCCTCCTCCTCCTCAAAGAGGGTAGTGGGAGGACTTCTTAGGAAAGAGAGGGTAGATTGGTGATTGACAGTTGATGGATAGAAAACCAAAGAGCAGGTTCAACGTGATGTCCCGATGCCTGGAGGCTGTGCGGATCTGGATGGGGAGGAACAGGCTCAGGCTCAATCCCTCCAAGATGGAGTGGCTGTGGTTCCCGTCATCCCGTGCATCTTGTTCCATCCTTGATGATAGGGGGAGAAATTTTAGCCCCCTCAGAGAGGGCCCACAATCTGGGCGTCCTCCTGGATACGCGGCTGAGTTTAGAAGAACACCTGATGGCTGTGACCAGGGGGGGCTTTTACCAGGTTCACCCGGTACGTCAGTTGCGCCCCTTCCTGGATTGGGATGCTCTGTGCACAGTCACTCATGCCCTCGTCCTTTCTCACCTGGACTAATGTAATGCTCTCTACTTGGAGCTGACCTTGAAGAGCCCCCTGAGGCGTCAACTGGTCCAGAATGCGGCTGCGCGGGTTATCATGGGGGCACCTAGATCCTC